AACTAACTGGCCTGCAGAAGATAACGGATAAAAAAAGGATTTTAACACAGGATTTTTTCTAACTTTTGGTACTCTTTATCGTCTGCTAAAGACATACGGCGTGGCAGGTTTTAAACCTAATTGGACCATAATCGGTGAACAAACGACGTGGTTAAAACAGAAAAGAAATGAAAAAACATTCAGTCTGGAGAAATTTAGAATAAAACAACGAAACAGTTGAAGGAAGCTGGTAAAGTTTCTCAGTCATCCTGGTCATCTACGGAAAAAGCTTCCTGGATGGGAAGCGAAACGTCTTCAAACCTGGAAACAAAGTCCAGTGGATTGTTTTTGGTCTCCATTATTAGAGATCCTGACCAAGATGTGTTGTCGTGTTTCAGAGGTGGAGAAACTGAAGGGGAAGTTGCTGCAGCAGAACCATGAAACTCCTCTTCATGGAACCGTCGGGCCATCAGAGGACCTCAGATTAGCTAAAGATGAAGCTTCACAAGCTCAGGAGAGCTTAAAGGTGAGTCAAAACGTCTAATAGTAAAGAGGATAGATGGACGGGGCAACAGGTGGACTTACGTCTTGTTTTCCTGCAGGCCTTCATGGAGAAACAGCAGGCCGAACGCAAGAAGTGGCAGGAAGAGAAACTGTCTCTGATCGGTCAGGCCAAAGAGGCTGAAGACAAAAGGAATCAGGAAATGAGGAAGTTTGCAGAAGACAGGGAGCGTTGCTGTCGCCAGCAGAACCTCTTAGTAAGAGCAGGATGGTCTAAGATCAGAGCTGCACTCTGAAGATCAGGAATGACTCCTTCTGCTTCCTCAGGAGTCCAAGCTGGTGGAGAAGGAGAAGGCCATGGAGAGCTGGAGGAAGGAGAGGGATGCTCTGGTTGCAGCTTTGGAGGTGCAGCTGCAGAAGCTGCTGTCCAGCCAAGCAGAGAAAGATCAGCTCATTAAGGAGCTGCAGAAGCAGAGCTCAAAGCAGCCAGCAGAGGTCAGTGTGGCGCCACAGTTTCCGTCCTCAATGTTCCTTCTCTGCTCAGTCAGACTCAAACAGAGAACAGCACCTGATGATGTTCAGAGTTTGGTGACAGTAGGAAATAATTAAAGATCTTTTCTGATCAGGTCCAGTCCTCCATGGCAGTCAGCGCTGCTATCAACCATTTTAGGCTACGTTTAAACTGCAGGCGCTTAACGCTCAATTCTGATTTTTTTTCTTTGTGAAAACTGACTCTTTTGCGTTGCCGTTCACATTTCCAATTAAATGCGACTTGTATGTGATCTCCTGTGTGAACCNAGAAAACAACCAGAGTTCTGATATATGTGGGAGTTTGACAATTTAGGGCTTTATAAATGAGGAGCCAGTGATTGGAAGTCTGTCAGACGAAGGCTGTAAATGTATAGATTAGTGCTATTGTGTAATTGTTTACTTATTTTATAAGGTCAGTACATCTCTGCAGTACAAGTGCAATAATCCACTACTGTGTGGTCTTCCCTTAGCTCTATACTGTGCAGATATGTTTATATCTAAGGGAAACATATTCTAGGAGATCACAACATTTTCTTTTTGTTTTTTTTTTTCTTTTTGTTTTTTTGCTTGTTTGGTAATTTTTTCACTCTTTTATATTGTCTGTTTTTTTTGTTTTTATCTTTAATGGCTTCTTGCTTTAACTCTTCGTACTCTATATAAGTTACTGGAACCAGAATTTTCCTGAAGTAATAATCCCAAGGTAGAAATAAAGCTGAGTCTAAGTTCGAGGCTGGTGTTTCTTTAACATTTTAGGAAAGTATATTTCTATATTTGCATCTATGCTAAAGAGTTTCCATCCTAACAGGGAGAGAGGAAGCCCAGGATTTGGGAACAGCTCCATCATATTTAGAGGAACCTCCTGTATGTTTGCCTGAAGTGTTTCCTGATGCCCGGAGAGTTTAGCGCATCTCATGTGTTTCTATGAACTGTGTGTCGCAGGTTAATGATGGCGAGAAATCTCCCCGAGTGGCAGAGCTGCAGGCAGCTCTAAAGGAGAAGGAGGCAGAGATCCTGCTGCTGAAGGAAACGCTGCAGGCCTCAGTAAGGAAGCAGGAAAACACACCTATGTGGGTCAGAACAATAATTTTCGTCGCTGGTGAAGATTCTCAGTCATCCAGGTCATAATGATTCCTTCCCTC